TTTTTTTTTTGGAGACGAAGTCTCACTCTGTCGCCAGGCTGCAGTGCAGTGGCACGATGTCAGCTCACTGCAACCTCTGCCTCCCGGGTTCATGCGATTCTCCTGCCTCAGCCTCCCGAGTATAGAGTAGCTGGGACTACAGGCACCTGCCACCATGCCCAGATAATTTTTTTTTTTTTTTGAAGTAGAGACAGGGTTTCACCATGTTGGTCAGGATGGTCTTGATCTCTTCACCTGGTGATCTGCCTGCCTCAGTGTCCCAAAGTGCTGGGATTACAGGTGTCAGCCACCGTACCCAGCCGGGTGCTGGGGGCTTTCTAATGGTGTGGTGGGGAAGGGCATGACTGTTCCCCCTTTCCAGGAAAAACAGGGGCGCAATCCTATCACCCTCCCCCTCCAGCATGGTAGGGAGGGTGGGGGTCTCATGCAGTAAACACTTTGAAAGGAAAGCTTGAGGAAGGGGGCTTGTGGGAACAGAGGGTTTCTGAGCTCTAAGTCCAAGAGCAGATGAAAGAGCCAAACACACTCACCGTCAGGTTCTCAAATTTGCGGAACAAATTCTTGAATTTCCCTGGCAGCTTCTGCAGAGTTTGAAGGAAGGAGAAGGGATATCAGAGTGGAGCTCCTTGGGTTACATGGGAGCCTTGGATTAATCCTCCGTGTTGGAGGGCAAAAGGGCCAGCATGGCTTGTAGGAGGCTGGGAAGCTGGGGGGTGGGGAAATGAAGTCAGGCCTTGGCTAGGTCTAGGAGCTTGAACAGCCCAGAGGAATTCATTATTCTGGGGAAAGCCAGATCTCTGTTTATGCAGGCGCCGTGTACAAGGGTGCCCCCCCACTGAGTGTGGCTGAAAATCAGCCGGACTCGCACAGCCAGGTCTGTGACCTGATCTGGCCAAGTGCTGCCTGCCGAGACTCAGGCAGGATCCTGACTTTTCACTATTTTGCCCGAAGACCGGGTCCTAAGCTGTGCGCCCTGGGGTTGCATCTACCAGAAGAGGGCGCCTCCCTCCAATGGCACAAAGACTCCCTCCAGGTTGGCGGCTGTCGCGGTCGGGGGAGGACCCACAGCGGAGAGCCCAGGATGCCCAGGTCCCCAGGTAGGAAAGGGAGGGGTCTCCTCACCTCCCAGGTGAGACGAAGGCGGCTGACAGCGGCGTTGTCCAGCCCCATGACCACGGCGTAGAAGGACAGCAGGTCCTGATTCTGCTTGCAGCTGCGGGGGTGGGAGGCGGGTTCAGGGGCTGGCGGTGCCGCAGGCCTCGGGCCCGGGGTTCCCCCTCCCGCGGCCGGCCGCACTCACAGGGCAGCGATCTTGATGAACTTCTTGAGCAGCTGCGCGCGCTTGCCCGGGGCCTCGCAGAGCAGCACCTCGGTGGCCACCCAGTGCGTGACCTCGCTGCAGCGCTGCAGCAGCAGCTCCAGGTTAGCCGTCTCCCGGCGGCCGCGCTCCCCGTGGAACACGTAGTCTACGAACTCCAGCTGCATCCACCGCGGCGGAGGGGCGGCCAGGGCGCCGGGGGGGTGAGGGGAGTGGGTGGGAAGATGGCAGTGCCAGGCGAAAGGGAGCGAAAGGCAGGAGGGCGGGGGCGGAAGGGATGGAAAATAGAAAAATAGACGGGACAAGAGGCGGCAAAGATGCGGAAAAAAGAAAACAAGCAGCATTAATAATATTTCACCAGCGACCGAGCACTTACTAGGCACTTGCTCGTGGCTGACATCCTTAAGACAACTATCTGCTAGACATTATTGTCGCTGCCTTATTTTATTTTTTATTTTTGAGACGGAGTTTCGCTCTTGTTGCCCAGGCTGCAGTGCAATGGCGGGATCTCGGCTCACCACAACCTCCGCCTCCCAGGTTCAAGCGATTCTCCTGCCTCAGCCTCCCAAGTAGCTGGGATTACAGTCATGCGCCACCATGCCCAGCTAATTTTGTATTTTTAGTAGAGAGGGGGGTTTCTCCATGTTGGTCAGGCTGGTCCCGATCTCCCAACCTCAGGTGATCTGCGCGCCTCCCAAAGTACTGGGATTACAGGCGTGAGCCACTCAGCCCGGCCCTATTTTATTTCTTTAATAGTGAATATTTTAAAAATACAAATCCTGCGTCAGTTTCTGTGTAAATAGCACCGGCCCTGAGCCACTCTGCTCTGGGGTCTTTCTCTGCGATTTTTTTTTTGGAATGGTGGGACTAAAGACGTTACAGCCATGCATTGCCCCAGGGCTTGCTGCAGGTGAGCCTCTGAACCAGGACGTTCTGCTGCCAACACCCTCTCCTAATGGCACATTTGTCTTTCCAGCCCCCGAGCACAGCGCCAGCCTTGGTCCCCACCTCGTGCACACATCGGAACAGCTCCCAGTGGAAGGCAGTAAGGTGGTTGGCAACGTCCTCAGGCTCCACTCGGTGGATCTCTGTGTCTCCCGGGGAGACCTGGATCTCCTCAGGGAGGGGCACCTGGGGGCAGGCAGGGGCATAGTGGCTGGGCTCCTGGTGGTGAGGTCCGGGACTGCTCCCAGCCCCCCTCAACCCTCCATTCCAGCCAAGGCCTCGGGAAAGAGTTCTTACCAGAGCCTCGTAGCTGTCCCGGGTGCAGGCAAACAGGTGGCTGTTGATGCCCAGTGTGGTAAAAACACAGTCCTCAGTGGGCTGGAGAAGGACCTTCTCTGCAGGAGAACGAGCTGCTCAGCCTCAGCCCCTGCCGCCTGTACCCTCACACACCCCACACTGGCACTGTCCTATCCAAAAACTCCTCACCCCACACTGACACATTCTAGACTAACAGAACTCATAGTCTCACCAGTTTATGCCATATTTATCTGGAATTTGTCAAATGATGATTTCTTTTGCATTTATAACTTTTTTCTACTCCCCCCCCCCCACTTTTTTTACAGGCTTTCCCTTGTTCTGTTGTCCCTGTGACACTGGAAAGGCTGAAATTTTTTCCTCCTGTAGAGGAAAACAAGCCTTCAGTGACATTGCTGGCTTTCTGCCTTCCCATGGGGATTAAAGACTCATCTTGTGTCTTTAGCCTGAGAAATGTGGCATCCTTACATACACAGGGAGGTTAAAGGACCAGAACACAATCCACAGGTGAGTGAGGGGCAGCACCCAGATCAGACCTGAGTCCTACTTGGTCTGTCGTCCAGGCTGGAGTGCAGTGGCGCAATCTCAGCTCACTGCAACCTCTGCCTCCCAGGTTCAAACAATTCTCCTGCCTCAGCCTCCCAAGTAGCTGGGATTACAGGCGCCTGCCACCACACCTGGCTAATTTTTGTATTTTTAGTAGAGACAGGGTTTTGCCATGTTGGCCAGGCTGGTCTTGAACTCCTGACTTCAGGTGATCCACCTGGCTCAGCCTCCCCAAGTGCTGGGATTGCAGGCATAAGCCGCCTCGCCCTGCCTTTTATTTTTTATTTTTTTTTTTTTGAGACGGAGTTTTGCTCTTGTCACCCAGACTGGAGTACATCTTGGCTTACTGCAACCTCCACCTCCCAGGTTCAAGTGATTCTCCTGCCTCCTCCTCCCAAGTAGCTGGGATTACAGGCTCCTGCCACTACGCCCAGCTACTGCCTCCCAAACTTTAGTAGGCACAGGAGTCCCCAAGCTGATCTTGTTCAAATGCTGATTTGAATAAGACCAGCAGGTCTGGGGTGGGGTCTCAGATGGTGCATCTCTTTTAGAGACAGAGTCTTGCTGTGTTGCCCAGGCTGGAGTGCAGTGCCTATTCACAGGTGCAATCATAACGTACTATAGCCTTGGATTCCTGGGCTCAAGCGATCCTCCTTCCTCAGCCTCCTGAGTAGCTGGGACTGCAGGCTTGCCCTACTGCACCCAGCAAGATGCTGCATCCTAACAAGCTCCCAGATGATGCACATGAGGCTGGTCCCAAGACCATACTTTGAGTAGCAAGGGCCTAAAATTCAGTCTCTACCCCTCCCCCAGGGCATTGAGCTTGTGAGTTTCTCCTCTCCGAGCCTCAGCCCTGTTCTTCCTGACCCTACCTCCCGAGGAGGCCACAGCCACCAGGATGAGGGAATCCTCACGCCCCGCAGGTTCTTCTGAGTACTGAAGTTTCTCCGTCACAGAGCCCAGAATGTCCTGCACTGATGCTGAAAGGCGGCTGCGTATGGTCACGTAAGAGTGGTCAGGCATGTATACCCGGCAGAAGACTGGATGGAAACAGGAAAATGGCTTTCAACAGAGGGCAGAGTGGCAGCAGCTAGCACAGTCTCCTCTAGGATGCCTCTGTTCCCCACCAGAGGCTGGCCTCTGAAGGAGGTCCTGTGAAAGGGGCTGGTTCTACCACCCAGGGAGATGCCACTGAGGGTGCCCAAGACCCAGAGACCCCACATGTCCCCCTGAGCCACTAAGAACACCTCGTCCTTCCTAATACCCACACTCACTCTCATCAGAGCCCCGGAAGGCCACCCTGGTCTGCAGACAGGAGTCTATCCGGCGGAAGTGGCGGAAGAGTGGCTTCACCTGCTTGCTAGGTGGCTGGCTCTCCTCTGGAATCCTGGCATGGACAAGCTGGGCATTAGCACACCCTGCCAGGCATATGGTCAACCAACACCACGCAGGCAACATCAAGCAGGAATATCAGAATTGGATCAAGGCCGTACCAGCACCAGTTTCAAAAGGTGGTTAAGGGGGTGAGAAGAGAGGACAATGAGCAGTATGGGGTTATTGTCCAAGTAACCCTAATCAAATGCCACGTCTTCCATGAATTCTCCTCGGGTCCGTCCCACCTACCCAGAAGGTCACTTTCTTGTCTCAACTACTATAGAACTTTGGGATAATGTTTATATTCACCTCTTATCTCTTCTATGAGATTGAGAGCTTTTGCGGACTGGGATTTGGTTCTTTTTTTTTTTTTTTTTTT